GAGGAGGGAATAGAATCAATAATTCTCCAAGAAGGAGGGGAGGAATGAAATAATAATTCATTAAAAACCGAGCCTGTTGTTTTATTTCTTTGATTATTATGCTCTTTACGTTTTTGTTTCAATACGTATTTACAAAGGAATTTTATCCAGTTCAGTGAGTAAATATGTGATTTTTAAAGGAATTCGGACAGCACGATGAGCTAGATTAAAATGCATTCATTTTTTTATTTCACTGTGTCTCCGCATTCTTAATTTGAAATGTTAAATACTCGTATTACATTTGGTTCTTATTTTAGAGTAAGTTAAAAAAAGCTTTGCTATGAGAAAACTTTTCTTACAAATAAGTATTTTGGGTTTACATAGAGAGATAGATTCGACTTTGCTATAAATAGTAGAGCAAAATTGTTTAGTAATATATAAATTTCCCTTGAAATGATTTAGTTAAGAACAATGCATTAAAATGCTTGAAAATTGAACGCTTGACATTAAAAGTCAGAAAAAAATATTAATAAAGGTTAAATGTGTAAAGACATTGGGTATTTTTTAAAGCAGAAAAGGTGAAAATAAGCAAAAATAATAATAAAAAAAAATAATAATAAATAAATAAATAAATAAAAATAAAAATAAAGATGGTGGATAATTGTCATAAACCAGCATTTTTAATTCGGGCGCCAATGTAGAGACGTTACGTATTTTCTGAAAGCAGGAGAGATGCAAAATGAGCAAGGCCCTCTCCAGTACTCGGACCTCTCGAATACGCGCCGAGCGTGCTGAATGTTTACACCCCGAAGGCATGCTAAGAAGGTGGGTGAAATACCTTGTAAATATGAGTAAAATAGTAATGATAAAAATGCTTGTTAAACAAGCAAATTGTAAAGATAATTTTGACGTAAGTTATTAACAAAAGACATAGAGATAGGATTCTAATTAGGCGCAAATGCTGAGATTAATGCATTCAAGAGCAGGGCGATATTCCTTTAATGAGTAATGGCAACAGGATTTAATTATACGTTCGCCAGTTCGTCAGCTTTCTCCGACTTCTTCCTTATTACAGTGTTATCAAATCGGAAAAAAATTACGTAGAATTTATGTGAAACTAATTAATTTTAATTGATAATAATCTGAAACACAAAATAAAAAGATAAAACGTGTAATTTGAAATCAGCTGCCAGTGCATTTTATCAAAAATCTTTTTTCTGAAATAGAAACTGTTACTTACTTTCACTAAATTTACAACTACTTAAAGGTATCATTGGTTTCAAAATTAATATTTACATGGTTGTATTATGCAATCAATACGGACGTTATACAAAATTAATGTATCATATTTTAGATTTTATAAATATCTTGCGTTACGTTAGTTATACCAAAAAAATTATTGTTTTTTGTATAGACTAATCTGATTAGTTTATACACTGTAGTTAAGTTTTTGTACTACTATAGTTATGCTACTGTAGTTAAGTTTTTGTATAAACTAATCTGATTAGTTTATACAAAAACTTAACTACAGTAGCATTCCTATTTATATCGAAGTGTTAGAAATTGATGGTTGTTAAGCTTAGAAGGTATTTTCTTGCTTCTTTTCACATTCTTCGGGGTGTAATTGGAAGCAATTACATCACGAAGTTAGGACTCTTAAAGTTAGGAAATAAATCAGCATATTTCAGCCACTAAAAAAGCTCTTAGTTCTGTTCGAGCCGGATAAAATGAAAAAAATGTCCATCCGGCCATACGGCAGGCACCGAGATCGTGAAGGACGTAGATTATTTATATCCGCAAATTAATGTGCATAAAAAGGGAAGTTTTAGTTTATGTTATGTGAATAGCATTAAATGTAGAAAACACTGAGGCTTGTTCCAAGTTATTTTATCCAGTCAAGATCTCTAAATTCAAAATGTGGTTTCTCATTGTAAGCACTTTGGTCATCGGTTCTACAGGCAAGAATAAAACATGCTTTAATAAATCAGTAATCACAGTTATAAAGCAAATTAGGGAGCTGCCGTTTTTAGTGAAAATGCTAATGCACGCACATTTTTAAAAAATGCATTGCTTTAACTGTTGTCCTCTACAAATAAAAGCAAAAGTATTGACGAATTCTAGTAATTTCACCATTAAGGGAAGAATTTAATACTTAATTACGTTTTAAAAGTACTTCACTCTTTTCTAATTGTTATACTAAATATGTACATTGTATTTTTTATGTCTTTCTTCTGCTGTCGCATGATTACAGCTGACACTTTATAAGGTGTTTGCCCCGCTTTCCTAGCGTGCCTTCGTGGTGTAGTGGTCTGCACGCTGGGCAGGTATTCCAGAGGTCCGTGGTTCGATTCCCGACGGTTGCTAATTTTTCATCTTGCCTGCTTCCAAAAAATATCCTAATGTCTCTATAACTTTAACAAATATCATGTTCTTTCCACTTGAACCGAAAAATTCAGTTCAACAGCAGTATCGCAAAATAATTTTAAAATCAGCCTACTTTTAGAATTTCCGATACACAGCCTCGCGTGCTGGAGATAAAAATGTTTTTTTTAATCGTACAGTGTTGCCATTATTCGCTTTAAAATTGTTGAGTTTGTTCAAAAATGCTTTAATATCTGACAAAATATTAACTAGATAATGAAGCAAATTCCAAATTAAGGCTTCCAGATGCCCATATTCGGTGGATGATTACGTCATTTAAAATTTGATGGCCCTAGGTACCGTTGCTTCATCACAATGCGAGAAACATACACATATTTATGTAGATTCTTCATTGTTTGACCTCTTTAAATATGATACAGGGCTGTAATAACATTTGGTAGCAACAGTTTGAAAAATAAATCAACGCAGAAAGTGAATCAACGCGAAATGCCAAAACGAAATGAATAGCCCTTCCGGGTTAACGCCATTTGGGCTAATGAAGAATCAAGTGATTTATATTCAAACTTGGGTTTATTTTTTATCTTGAAAATGCCTAATACTAATTTTCAAATTTCATATCCTTTTCAAGACTTACAAAATTCGAGGATTTGAATACTCATCCTTGTTAAAAAGAGTCTGACGTAATTGAGTTCGTTTCCTTTGATCCCTTGCATTTAGGAGCGGTTGAGAAACACAAATGTAAAACATGAATCAAAAAATTCACCCGAAATTGTGATAAGTGTTGAAAATAATATTAAATGCCAAAGATGAAGGTAATGAAAAAATTTTAAATATATAAGTAAAATACAAATTATTCGTACAGCTAACAAGATATTTCGGGCACCTATTTGTTTGGCAGTTATGGCTTTGACATAAAATAATTACATTTAAAATTCATCGGTTTTAACAAAAGAATTCAAAATATTTGAGTTAAAAAATCTTGCAACTAAATTTGCTTATTTAAAAAAATTTTTAATTTTTCAATAAGTACTGCCCAAAGAGCAGTATTCGTTTAAAAATCTGTGTGTCTCCGAATTATTTTCTATTTTGTGTTCAACATGATGCTTTTATTCAATCACATTATCCTAATATGTACCCATACTGTAAATTGATTCATGTTTTAAGTGTTAAAAGAAAACAGGGAAGAAAATTCATACGAATTTACTGCAATTTTAAATCTAATAAAAACAATAACTGAAGATAATTTGTGAGAAGGGTGCATATGCTATTTCTAAAACGTTCTGAAATTCGACTAATAATGATCTGAGTAATAAATCTTCATTGCAAGAGCATTGGTTTGATTACGAATATGTTATCAGAAATGAAATGAATGCATAGTTTTAATTTCATTTTAATATTTGCTCATCAACAGTGTAGGGATTTATATTTATTTTTAACTAACAAGTTAAGGTTTAATTTTAAACTTTCCTATAAGCCTTCATTCCCTTAATTGTCAAAGACAGAATATTTAAATTTGGTAGCGCGCGTAAAGAAATGCATATTCTACCTTGTGAAGAAAGTTTAAAAACCCAAGGTTCAGTAGGAAAGAGAGAGAGTTAGGCTATTGCCGTCACCTCCGTGTCGTGAGCTTCTGCTCCCGGAGTTATTGCTCATATCACATATAAAATTGCCATTTGAGCACAAATTACGATTCATAGTCATACATTTTTTACTCGATGCAATATGGAATCCACATAAAAACTTCGATAGAAAAATAAACTAATTATATCAGCAACAGTGGCTGCGTGCTAATTAAATTTTTGTGTAGATGCGCAGTAAAATCGAAAGAAGCATTATATTTTTTTTTTAACTTCTGTCTTAGACATGATGATTTCCATTTATTTGGGATCATGAACATGCACACGGAATACTTTTGAAAAGTTTAGGTAAGTAATCATCTGTGAGACCTGAACGAATTAATCCATTTCACATCAATTTCTATTGGGAAACTTGTTTTGGGGTACTAACAATCTTCAAGAACGATTTAAATTCGTATGGTTTGTTTTCGTTTATTTGATAATGTCAAAGCATTCGAGAGCTGTCTGCTTAAGAGGAGAAATCCTTCTTTAAAGAATTTCGAAGGGAAACTACATCGTATCCACGCTATGCACGTGTTAAACTAAGAAAACACCCATGCAGTCAGTCCATTAATCGGGATTCGAACGGCGGACCAAACTACCAATGGTCATGACTTCACCGCTTGTCCGCTCGTGGGCCATGCAGCCAGCCTATTAATCGGGATTCGAACGTAAGACCCAACTACCAGTGTTCACAACTGGTGTAACAGGTATCATGTCTAATGACGAGATAGAAAGTATAATAATTTTCATGTCATTCAGAAACTATAATGAATTTCGCATTTCAATCATTTTGAACCCACTCTAAGCAAGTGATTAAAAGCTGTAAATTTCCATTCTGTTCCAAATTATTTTGAAAATGTAAAAAGGATTTATTTTACATTATAATTTTGCGGTACTTTTCTAGTTAAGATGGATGTGTAATATCGAGTGGGTATCCGGCAAACACAGTAATGGCGAAGGAAGTAGATTACATATATCCGCAACTTAATGAGATATGTATAAAAAAGCAATTTACTTTAATGTTATCTAAATATATAAAGCTTCCAGGCTCTCTCTATCCTTATTCCTCTTCACCGGCTGCACAGTCAACATGTGGGTTCTCTTTGCAATCGTTTCGGTCCTCGCTTCTGCTGGTAAGGTATACCTTGTTTAATAAACCAATATTCGAAGTTACGAAGCAGGCTTGGTATCTAGTTTTTGTACAACTGGTAATGGAGAAAAGAGGTTTAAATGTAGATTACTTTAACTCAAGTATCAATATGTTTAGAATAAGAAAGAGATATTATAATTTCTTAACAACTGGTAGTATTTGCTCAAGTATGAGAAGCAATTTATAAATTTGCAGGCTTGACTATTTTAAAATCATTTTTAAAAATTAAATTAAACAAATACAACATGCGTTCGAAGCATGCATTTTTTCTTGTTCCTGAATAATAAATGAATTCTCTTCCGTATTTAAAGTATCTCTTAAATCGCGTATAAAGTTATCTATCTTCCCAGTTGAATTAGGTTTAAATGTAAATTTCGCTCAGAAAGAAAAAGGGGACACTTCTGTATCAGCCGTTGTCGACCGATTCACGAAATTCAAATTGCGTTTTTCATGTCTCGAAATCGCGATTTAGGATATATATTACATTTATATCTAACTTCTAACATAGGTATTTTGTAAGAAAATCCGATGTTTTCTGAAATAACATATCAATTTTTTCCATATTTCGATTCTACGACTGAACTAATGCCGAACTACCACGTTTTGTAAAAATAGAACGAGTATTTTTAAAAAAAATAGCTCTCAAAATTGTAGCTCCTCAATGTTAATTGAATTTGTTATATATATCTATTAATATCTCTTTTCTATTAAACTTATTTGATCCCTTTTTCAAATATAATTCGAAATCTAGGCTTAATCCAAATACAATTCGCATATATTTTATGATTTACTTTTAAAATTTGTATTTTAAAATATTTTTATTAATTTTATTATAACTCAGAATGCACGAAATTTATATCACTTAAAAAAATATCTAATCGGTGCCACATGTTCTATTCAAATACTATTATAAATCTAGAACGATGTATAAAAGAAATTAAGCAAACAAAACAAAAAAGAAACAGTTTTTCATAGACGATTGAGTATTTCTCATTCACTTAATTCAGTTCTCTCTTTGCGACAAGGCAAAAATACATAAAAACTCAAAATATCTGTATTAAAAATTACGAAGTAAATCTTAAAAACTTATTTCCTCGAAAAAATTCCAGAAAAGATTAAGCATGATTTAATTCGCAATAATAAATGAAGGCGTTGTCTTTGTTGTTGCGAAGCTACGTTTCTCTAGATTGGCAACAAATCCACTACTCTGTGCTGTTTCAAATGCAAACAAGCAATGGCCGCCATCAAAAAAATTATTAGGCTTAGCGGCACTTAAACAAAACTTAAAGTATTGCATACAGATTTACTAAAGGCATAAAAACCTTAACCGAAAGATAAGAACTACATAAGTCAATCATTTTTAAAGCAAAAAATGTACAATTTACAAACATATAAACTGAGATCACTGAGCCGGGTAACAAAGTGGATATATATATACTATAAATATATTTATATACGTTTGGTGCGGCCGACTGCAACCAAAATACGAGGTGCACATCTACATGTTATAGCAGTCCTATATACAAAATTTCAACGTTCTGAGGCAACTCGTTTTTGAGTTATGCGGGATACGTACGTAGGTACGTACATAAGTTCTTACAGACGCCACGAAAAATTCTCTTCAGAATTCATTTTAAAGCACTTTTATAATTTTTTTTGGAGGAAACGAGTCTTTTATTCTGTCCTTACGTACAGATGTCACGCAAACACATCGTTAAATTGCATTCGATAGCGGTCGAAATGGATATTTTCGTTGAAATATGCTGCCTGAAACTTTTCGCGATTACAATACTTCCTTTATACTTCGTACAAGGAAGTAAAAAGGAATGGAAAATAGGTTGCTTTAAATTAAGAAGTTCGTTATGTTATTTATTGTTGGCGTAACATGAAAAAAGGGATCAAGATAAATTTTTAAATTTCTCCATATATTTTGCACCATGTTTTACAAAATTTAATATTTACGCATAATTTGAGTCGTAGAAAATGTCCGGTTTTGTGTCAAAATGCCTATGTTATAAGCATGCTATATATAAATCTAATATATATCCTAAGTCACGCTTTCGAGACGCATACAAAGGAAATCTAGATCGCTATGTTGATATCGGCACTAAATATTTAATGTTTCTTTTAATTTATCAAAGGTTGCTAGATTGCACATTATGAAAAAAATCTTATATGATACACTATCTACATTATATTATATTCATTAGGAGCAATCATACAATTTTTCTTTCATTTTTAAAATTATCGTTTTGCGTATAAAGAAGCGGCAAAACTTTAGTTGCGTTTAATGTTAAGTATCAAATACTTCAACGGATATAATTGAGTTCTTTCAAAGGTGGTTTTTCGTATTCTGTCTTTGTCTACAACTTAAAATTACAACTTAATAAAAGTTAGAATAAAGTAATATTTCCCAAGTTTTGAAAACTCACATATCAGTAAATAATTTTATTCTCTTCCATGGCATGCATTTTAATTACATCTCTTGGCTTGAAGTTTTCTTGAAGCAGTTTGAAAAATATTTTTTGCACTTATTATTTCACATTCTGAGTTATATATTATCTTTATACATAAAGAAGATGTTCGTAGATTACTTAGACCGATTTTGCTTTGCTATTAATAATTATGCTTTGAAAATATTTTTAACTGTAACTATATTTTTGAAAATATCTTTTATAGTCTGCTATGTTACATTATAATTTTTATGCAAAACAGCCTTTTTAGGGTTTTCGAAGAAATGTTTCGTATCCAGTTATTAATAATTGCTGAGAAATCCATGGATTTTTTATATCTGAAACTACGATAGATAATATTGTCAACAAAAAAAGAAAAAAAGTCTAAGTTTGGCTTCAAAGTGGAACAATTATTCCAAATACATATCGAAAGAAAAAACGAATGTTGCAAAGGAAAGATCTTTAATGTTAAAATAAATTCCTCCAAGTCCAAAGGACAATCGCGAAATCATTAAAATACTCAGTTACAACTGTAAGCAAATTGATCAACGCTGATTTGAATCTTAAAAAGACAAAAACACACATCGTCTTTCTCCACGCCATACGCGCTGCAGAACTCTTTATAAAAAATATTTATTAGGTCAAAAATGGGAAAATGTTGGTATATTAGATGAATATTGGGTGTATTTGAATGACTGTGATAAAAAGAGATCTATTTATTATCATCAAAGAGGAGGAAAAAAATATTAAAACATGATTCAAAGGATGTGAAGAAGGTTTTTCAAAGGTATTTATGATTTTTGCTGGTTTTTCAGACAACGCCAAATTGAAAATAAAGAGGCTACAGAAAATGGATGGATCAACTCCACATATTATCTGTAACATATTTTATACTCAATTTTCAAATATAAAATATTTTCTCTTTACGCACAGTGCCATCAATCAGTGGACCTGAACCAAGACAAAGCAATCAGACACACACCAAAATCCATTGTTAATTTCTGGGGAAAATAGAACAAGAAACCAAGCAAGACTTCACATATATCCCTACTAAATCCCCTGATCAATATTTGCACTTTCGGATTTTTAAAGAGCGCTTTGTCCAAACTTCGACCTCAGCCCTCTTTGGATTTTGGAAAGCTGTTCAAGAATGATTGAAAGAAAGTACCTCTTCCGATACTATAAAAAGCTTTATTGTCTTGGGAAATTATGGTGCAGAAAGTGAACATATCAAATAGAACATTTAAAACACAAATATTTCAGGTAGAATATTATTACGAAACGCCCAAGCACGGTAGCTTCCCCGCAGAGCAGTTTTAGGGTTGCTATAAAATGGCAAGGTAAGGGAGGGTTGTCGCATTTGGCGAGAAAATTGGCGATATGCCATGGACGGATGGAGAACCTTCTGAAACGAATTCTTACCAATTTAGCCCAGAATGTTCTCGAACACAAACCGAAAGCTATATAAACCCTGCTGGTCCGCAGTCAGAGTGTGTGCCTCGTCGAGGGGGAGAGTGAGAATGTCTCGTAAAGTGCAAGATAGTTAGTATCGAGTTGGTGTCTCCTCTAGCAAGTCAATCCCTACGGAATCGATCGAGTTGAAAGACGGGCAGCGAGTGCCGAGTGGGTCGTCGAGTGCACCGAAAGAGTCTCGTAGTGTATCGCAGTTAGTGCATCGTCAAGAGAGCATGTTGAGCTCCGGGAACGACTTAACCAAGAGTCGGGAGCTGTGCTCTGTGTGTCGTCGAGTGCACAGTCAAGAGAGCGTGTTGAGCTCCGGGAACAACTGAATCAAGAGTCGGGAGCTGTGCTTTGTGTGTCGTCGAGTGCATCGCGAGTTGTAGCGTGGAGTATCTCCAGAGTACGGGGAGTTCCGAGAGCGACCAAGCAGAGTCGGGAGCTTTTACTCTAGTGCCTTTCCTTGAAGCTCTCTCCACCGTGATAACCTGATACCCTGGAGGCTGTGTCGCTGATTGTGTCAGCGTGTTTATAGTAGATCTTCGACGACTGTAAAATTATTTTGGAGCTGCCTTGATAAATATTGGTAAATAAAGTGTGTTTCGATATTTCATCAAGTGTCGTCGTTATTTACTCCAAATCCATACGAACCCCGTACGAACGTGAAGGAAGAGAAAAACGCAACAACTGGTGTCATAAGAAAAAAAACGCAACAATATTTCTTCAAATATAATGAAAATCGTCTAAAAATGTGCGACAATCCTCTGCATGAATGATAAAACTCTAATTGTAGTACGTATAGTCAAGAAAATATCTAAACATTAAATGAAATGACCTCTCTATTTTGCTGTCCATAACACTGAAAACTGAGGAAATCCTCAAAACCTAGTTCTACAAATCAGCACCTGTAAACGTATTTATATGAACAACAAAATTAGTAAAAGACATGCATGTTAAATTTAAGAAATCATGTTGTAATGTTGCGCGCTTCCAACCTGCACGCAACAATAGTGGTGACTGCTATGAACTGGAAAGTCTTGAGAAGACTTTCCAGAAGACTTTCTAGAAGTCTTGAGAAGGGTTTAAATCCCTTTTTATTCAACTTTAGAAATTACAGATACGTGCTCTTGACGCTCACAAACTACGCCGACCCTGCGGTTAAAATAAAAATAAGAAATTAAAAAAAGAATAATAACAAGTGACTAACTACGAGGCTCTCTAAACGTAACTAACCTAACCGCATTCTAAGATACCGCTGACAATTCAGCAAACTTCTCAATATTACGTTGAAATATTTAACTATCTACTGAGGCAAGCACACAGGCGAAACGCGTGGTTCTTCAATTTCTAACTAGCCACCTCCACGCTCGTGAAGCAAGAAAGCACACTTTCGAACTGGTTTCCCTTCTATTTAACTAAGAATACTTCCGCTGACAATTTGAATCCTTTCGCGTTCTACTAAAATTTACATACTCTGGCATTGGCAATTCTAGGGGAAAGTAAGGCTTGACAGAAAAGATAGTTTAAACTTAAAATAAATGTTAGTTAAAATAAATATAAACCCTACAATGTGTTTTCATGATTGCATATATTTTCATTGATGCACTTACTTTTTAATACCGTTATTTATATAAAGATATTACCGTATTCATATTCTTTACCAATATTGAAAAATATAAAATTTATAGCTCTTGTAAACCATTTTCCTTTCCAGAAATGAACTCAATTTTCAGTTCAGGTGTCGTATACGGCCCGGGATACATGTGGTCGCCAAAAGTTGCGATATTTTGTGTTGGATGGTTTAGTTGAGATTATGGTGAGATTTTGTTTGTATGCAACCTTTTTTAAGTGGAAACTTTTGTGTCGAATCGTGGTTTCATTTCGTCCTGTCCTGCTAGTTTTTTGATTACGTGGTTGAATAATGACGTGTAGTTCCATGAAGGAAGTTGTGGAGAGATACCAGCCACGGAGAGAGATACAATATTCAACTATATTTACTTCGAGAAGATATGTTATTGGAGTTATTAATGAACCATTTGTTCATAGTTGTCTCCATGTTGACAGACAGAAGTGTATTTTTGTAGTTTTTATGGGTTGCAGGATTTTTGAAACCGAACTTGATATGTGAAAAGTGCTGCTGATTTGAAAATTTGTAAGATAAATTGTGTTTCTGATGGATTTGTGTGGATTTGCAGAAAAAATGTTGAGGGTAACGAATGTGGTTCTTAACTCTTTCGCATCGAAGTCGCCCCAAACGCCCAAACATTCAGACATCGGCTGGACGCCCGAAACGCCTGAATAATTTCCCACCCAGTGCTTTCCCCCATCACATTACTGCATTACTCATTGCTTTCAGGTGTTGTTAAATCACGTGTCAATCATTCTTTTTGAATTCGTTGTTTCCTTTGTTCCTTCCTTTCCTTTGTTTACTGTCAGTGTTTAGCTTTTGATGCCCGAAGTTGCAATCCCGTCCCAAGGGGGAACTTCACACAGTGTCAAAGCGTCGAAGAAAGAAGTTCTCGCTTTACTTAAGTAAGGCTATTGTTAGCGCTATAGTATTCAACTTGTCATGGGGAAAAGCATTCCAGGAGAAATTCTTAGATACGGGCGTTTTCGATGTTTGGGGAATTGAGATTTTGCCCTCTCTCGATGCGAAAGAGTTAATGAAGTTTGGATTTGATTTTAAGTCCAAAGGGGCTTTGTCCCTGAAGGACTATTATTTTCGTTTTGCGATTTTGCGTCGGCAACTTACAAACAGAGTATCACATTTCAAATCGTTGCCACCAAATACTATCGCCCTGCGTTATATTTGAAGAAATTAAATAATGAAGAATCTGCATAAATGTGTGTATGTTTTCTCGCATTGTGATAAAACAACGGTACCTAAAGCCATCCAATTTTGAATGATGTAATCCTAAAGCGAAAATGGGCATCTGAATACCCAAATATTTGAAATTTGGAATTTGCTTAATTATCGATTTCATATTTTGTAAAACTTTAACGAATTTCTGATTAAAAAACTCAACGATTTAAAAGCGAGCAATGGTAACACTCTACGGGGGGGGGAACCCTTTTTTATCTCCAGGCCGTCGAACTGTGTATCGGAAATTCTAAAGATAGGCTCATTTTAAAATTATTTTGCCACATTAATATTGAATTGAATTTTATGGTTTAAGTGCAAAGAACATGATATTTATTAAATAAAGGATATATTCTCCAATGTTTGACAGCCACCAATTGTTTTAGCCTCTTTGATAAATTTATCTCATTAGCTTTTTTGCCAACTTCTCTATATGGAAATCTTAATTTGAAAGTAAAATATAAGTAAAGCAAATTACAACAGTTGTCATTCGTGCATAATAGAAGAAATTTACTTTTTAAAATTATTTCTGATATCTCAGCTCTAGGAAAGGACGACATCTGCCAGAAGAGGATTTATGAAGCATGTGATTATGATCACGATTTTGTGTTTCCAAACAACGAGAAACAGTTCGATGAGGAATGTTCGTAAGTTATTTATATTATAATTGTTTTTGTTTTCTTTCAACTTTTTAAGCACACGATATTAAAATTTATTGTACCAGTAGAAAATTTGGAACTACTCTTATACACGTCCTCGGTTGGTCAGAAACTCCACGGCGACATATTACTATCTAAAGCTTTTGTCGACATTTTTAAGCCTAAAATGTCTGCAAAAACGTGGTTTTCGCACGTGCAAAAGCCACGTTTTTAACTCACAGTTTACGCAGAAACAAAACGACAAATTTATATGGCAAAACGGTAAAGTTTCCAACCAAAAAGGTTTGATAAGAATCCCTGTACAGAGCGATCTGTTTTAACTTAAAAAAATCAGAGAATTGCACAATCTATGCAGCGTAGGAATCACGCACACCTCGCTAAAATAAACTAATATAATAACAATAAATTTCAAACAATACCATTTATACAGCGTTCTGTTTTAACTTAAAAAACATCAGTGAATTGCACAATCTAGCAATTAATTACGAACAATTCAAAAAAACAACAATAATTCATAGCCAAAAACCAATGAACATAACATTCTACAAAATAAGAACAACAGTAAAATAAAATGCACTTACCATTGCGAATGCTTCTTCAAACAGCAGAAATATCAATTTCAAACATCAACAAAACTCATCAATTTTCACCACTTCATCCTTCCACCTTATCTTCTGAGACACAGAACATACAAAGTCCAGCATATATTCGTGAATAAAATCCACATAAACACACCCGTGAACAAAAGACTTGTTAACAACTCCAACATCGTACCTTTTAGTACTGAATTTAACTTGCACAAAATCTAAAATATGCGACAGAAATTTTGCCACCACGTCTTTCATTGCAACATAAGCCATTTCAAAAAACCCACCAACACAACCAACCACTCCAGCAAAATTAAGTTTCAAAGTCAAAAGTGTTGCCAAACAAACAATATCGGGCCACAAACCATCGCAGAACACACAATTGTGACAAAAACCAGCGCACAATACATATCGCCACATTTGGCGATGCTATACATCTGGGGGCGAATATAAGACTAGTACCGAAAATTTTAATGTAAGTTTCCTTAATGCAAAAGGTATGCGTAACAATGCAGTGTTAATGGAAAATAAAGTATTAAGAATTATCTGTAAACCTAAAAATGTAATAACGAATAAAGGAAAGACTTAGAAATAAAATCATCATTTCAACTCTAAAATTATCTGAAAGTAATGATCGAGAGATTATCTAATCTCTCTGCTAAGCTAGCAAAGCCAAAGATCCGGTTTGGAATTCAAAGCCAAAGGCCCAGTTTTTGGCAATTCAATGGCTCTTACGTTTTCCCTTGGAATCAATTAGGAGTATAGAGTTGGAATTAAAATATAATTCGAACATTTTTGCAATTATTATATCCAAAAGAGAATATGCGTACCTTTTATTTAACACTAGCTGTCAGCCTTTGTCTGGCTTTTAAATGTACCGGAAAAATGGCTAAAGGGAACATCAAACGTTAAATTTAAAAACTGCGTAGAATTTTACTATGCAGAACAACTTCATAAAAAAAAGTTATTATGTATAACAAAATTACAATGAAATAAGGAATATTCCTTAATACAAATATTAATTATCCTAATAAATAAATTAACCAACTTCCCTCTGGAAAATCTAAGGAACTCAAATAGTATAAAGGAGCTTAAGAACTTTGTTTCTTAAAAAAATCACTCAAAACTTTTCAATATCTTAAAGACAGTGAAGTGAGCAATACATAACATAAAAGAATACAAAAAACAAAAAATTCTGAAAAACAAAGTATAATTAATGATATTTTATCTTATATTTTCAAGAGAAAAAAAATGACAATGAAATAAGCTATATCCCTTAATACAAATATTAATTATCCTAATAAAAACAATTAACCAACTTTACATTGAAGGAAAAAAATCATGCAAAACTTTTCAATATCAAAAATTTCAGTATCTTACAAATAGTGAAATTAGCAAAAAATAACATGAAAGTAACTCAAAACAAATAATGTCGCCCAGAATTTTACTCTGCAGAACAACTTTATCATTAACTTATGACAATGAAATATGCCACTCTCTTAAAAACAGTGACATAAGAAATACGATGAAACATTGTTGCCAAACCCATATTTGTAAAAGAATGAAACTATTCAAAATGATGCGATTTCATCAAAAATCTATCAACATCAATAAGACAGGAAAATTGTTGCCAAAATCACATTTTTAAAGATGTGAGATGTGAGAATTGTACTCAGACGCTTCATTAAAAAAAAATTTTTTTAAATACAAAATATTATGATTTTTCCAAAATTCATTTTGTAAAAGCAGTCGCAAGGATAAAAGTTTAACGTGTCCAAAAATCAAAGAAAAATAAACTGTACATTTTTGAAAATAAACATTTTTAGAAAAAATCCAGTTGAAAAGTGTTAATCTCCTTTTGTTAAATAAATTCGTATTTAATCGATTGATTGAAACACGAAATTTATTTTGAGTTCGTAAAATAACCAAGTGTCTACGTTTCATGACGATGTGAAAATGCAGTGTGTAGAGTAAAATCTCGCTTTCCTATAGCCCATTATGTCACAAAATGACGCGATTTTGTCACAAAACATAAAAAAAGTCGAATTCGAATTTCGAAAAAATAGCTTCGAGGTGCTCTGGCTCTTGTCTAGATGCACCTATGTACCAAATTTCATAGCCGTGGGTCTATTAGCTTACGCGCAACGCGAACGAAAGACACACACACACACAGAGACAGACTCTTTCTTTTATTATATGTAGAGAAGATGATGAGTGCCAAAACGAATTTTGGACATCTCACCTACAAATTGCACTTTGCTTTCATAATAATAAACCGCAATTTTTAATGATAAAATATAACGTGTCATGACTATATGAAACTGGGCTTTTTAAGAGCTCACTCACATCCTTAATAAAATAAATGATCTCTGAAGCTCTATGATCCATTTAATGAATCTTCTGCAATTTAAGAAGACAAAATGAAAGCATTCTCTCGAGAATTCTTGTTTCATAAATGTGTAGTAAAGAAGGCGGAATACTCCCCTCCCAAAATAAAGACATGAAGGGATGCAGAATTTTAACGTCATGCCAAGGGAATTTTTGAGGTTTTTATTCTCTAGCTTACTAGCTCGCAGTTATTTTGTCTGATCTAGACTTACTTCTAGTGATAGAATGTTTTTTTTATTTCTTATTAGACATCACTTTCTTCGTATATATGCCACATATAATTCAAAAACGCTACTTTAAATAACTGTTTATGCTTTTGCCTAGCATACCGTATTCATAAGCAAATTCATAAATTTTTAAAGAAATCATTTTTAGAACTTTCGCTACAATATTAAGTGCTGCCACACATTTTTTAGCCCGGAAAAACTATTATTGTCGAACTTCACTTTTTCGTCGAATTATTTTTGTTGTCGGTTTCACTTTTCAAATAACTAAAGGCTATCGTGAATGACAGCCGAAAATAAGTACTACAAAAAAGAAAAATATCATGAAGCTTTCCATAAATTCAGCTAGTGTCATTTCACGAGTCCAGCTCGTAATAAATAACAGCGATAAAGAACTGCATTTATTGCTTTTAAATCGCTTAATTTAATTAATAATAGGCAGATTAAATTTAAAAGAAAAATTAAATATCTTATTCGTCAAATAGCAACAAAATGTCACATTGAAGTTAAAAATATTTTATATTGTGTATCTTTGGAATTCCCCATTAAATGTTAAATTTTGCCATATATATATTTTGTAGTCGCTATATTATTTCTTTAAAAATAATATATTTGCTAACATTTGATGGAAACATTTTAAATGTGGTACTGATAGAAAAGTTACGTTTGAACCTGAAAGAAAATTACGTAAAATAGTAGAGGATTGTGAAGGCTGCTTTAAATAAGATGGATTTTTTACGCACAATTTCAGCAAAGTACCGTCTCTGTCAGTGTAGTCCAACCTTTAGTTACTCGAGCGCCAATCAAACCTTAGTATACGAAAGTGAGGGCCAGAGCCATTAAAGAAAGAAAATGAATTACGTATAAATCAGCAGTTTAATGTATCACTTTATTTTGCAGTCTAGAACTCAATGTGATGATTGGCACTGCTATTTGGTACAAGTTTATCAATGTCCACTCTGTAATGTCAATAAGTCTCAGGCTCAGGCTCGATTCCAGTGAAGCACTTTCAATGCGATTTCTCGTTTTTGATTTAATTTGTTTGACAGCAGAAAAAGCACTTTCACACATATATATACTGCCAAACAGCGATAACATTTGCAAAGAGAATTTATGCAGTTTGGGAAAAGGTTCTTTAGAAATCAGTTTCCAGAACGGTTTAGTGACATCCCACTTTTTAATCTCGTACAATGCATCTGCCTGCAGATCACAAATTTCCATCTGAAAGTCGCACTTACTTCAATCTCCATGTTGTTGTTTAACAATGAAAGTTTTTTTTTAGGGAGTCAAAATCCTGGAACTCTTTACTGATATCAGTAATTACTTCATGAAACATACTAAAATTTGTATCATTTTCTTTTTTCAGCTGCTGATAAAATCGGCAATAAACCGTTTTATTTGCCTTTAATACAATTACATTACGTTTTTTTACGAAAGCCTTCAATATGTCCATAAAAGCTGGTCAGAAAAAAACAAGATTATTTAAAAACTGGATTTCCTCCAATTTTTCTTGGTACTCATGTCAGATGTTTTCTTTTTTGATGAAAGCAAGAATTTCATTTCTCAACCCAAAACAGTGTTGCAGACAACTTCCAGCACTTAGTCAGGCACTTGACATTGTAATGAAATGCCATCATACTTCAGCATCCAAATTGTCCACAAATGCAATAAATGCTCTTTGTCTCTGGGCTTTGCCTTCCCTTATTAACCCTTAGCGCTCCGTTGGCTCCGCTACGTCCGTCATTTGTTCCGTAACTCCGTAGGCTCGGCTGCGGAGCCCAATGATTTTAGCATGATTAGGAATAAGATGTTACGAAATTGTCGGCGTTGGCAATTGTTATATGTAGTTAAAATGGGCTCAGTCTCGCTACTGTTACGATTGAAACATTATTTGACCCATTTTATGGTTAGCAACATGGAGAAAAATAATTCTTGTGATGAGAATATAGAGTTGAGTGATAGTGATTTGATTTTTTCATTGTTAGAAGATATTGTAGAAGACAATGTTGATTATAATTCTGACACTTCAAAGTAGTGGCTCCGAAATTATACTAACAAAGAGACGACGAATGGTAGTTAATGAACGTGAAAGCGAAGAGTCGCCGGAAGACTTAGATGAATGGCGCGATGTCACGGAAGAAGTAGATATTCCGGGTAGAATACATTTTAGTACTCTAACATTGGGTGGCAACAGTTTGAAAAGTGAAAAGGACACTTATAGTAAACCAACGCAAAATCGCAAAACAAAAAACAATAGTCCTTCAGGGAAAAAGCCCCTTTGGACTAATAATTTCAATATTCACAGCTTAATCGTTATCTTCGTCATCGAAAGAAGCAAGGATAATTGTTAATCTTCGAAAAGGTCAGTCTTTATTTGTTTTTGCTGTCGTTGTCGTTTTCTTGCTAACTACTTACGATGGTCATTTTTATGACATTTCTTACATCGCAGCCATTTTATAAAATATTATTCAATAGAATGTTGGCAAGTACATTGGTAACCAGCATTTTAATTACTGAGTGCTATTTCAGCAATATTCGAATATTGACTACAACATTCATCCGCAGCTAAGCGGAACGATCCTCAAACACTGTTAGTTTGACCCGGGTTAAGTTTCATGTGAGACCATAGCGGCTGAGCGATAAAGTCGATGAATACCGACAGTTCGGTCTGGGGTTTGGATCACGGCGAACGGAGTTTTCGTGGTTTTCCGCATTTATAACTGTTTACGAGCCAGTTTTCTTTAGAAAGGCCTCCACGAAGACATACTTTAGCTTAAGTAGATAAGTGCCTTGCCATAGTTAAATAAATCAACCCAACCGACCCGGATAAAATCTCGCTGAAAGAGTTGGCTGCATAGGAGACTTTGAGATTTCTGTTCATATGTGAAAAGCTGTACCTAAGTACTCCTTGTGTCATACTTGAGATAATCATCAATCTTAACCTTAATCATCATCGAAATATATTACCATTATATGCACGGGTACAAATGGAAGCTAGACCAACACCTCTGTATTCCCACAGGTGACTACAGCATAGCTGAACTTAGTTAACTATTAGGGTTTCACTCAAATTTCCGGGGTCCGAGGGTCAGCTATCTCTCTTTCCCTACCACTAACCTCTCGACAGAACTTCTGGCTTGCCATGTATTTTAAGTGCCTTCCCACGCACATATACTATACGCTTAAAAAGATCCGAACATTTTCGGGATTCGAGCACGGGCCATCCATACGGCAGTCAGCGTTAGAAATCTTTATATCGGGAAGGCGGCAAGATTTTGTAGAATAAATTTAAATGCATGCTATTAGAGTTGATTCTATCTATAAAAATTTCGCAACATTCTGAAATATCTGTGCATTTTAAATCATGTCTATTTTCCAGTATTCTATTGGACGAGAGTAACTGTAGACTGGAGTATGCAATCAAATGCGAATCTGATCGGCTTGAAGAGATTACTGAAATTAATGAATTTCTAGAAGATGTCTGCCGCAAAGGCTCAAGCCTTAATGAAGGTAAAATGTTCACTTATTCTTTTCCAACTTGTAACACCTTTAGTTCTCGTTCTTCAGCTATACTTTACTATTACGGTATATATTATCAGACCATTTAAATGCAAACGGTCTTTCTGTGAGGCATAACATCTGCAACTTAACTTTCTTGTAAAGATTGGTTTCTTACGTCTGTCGATCGTGATAGTGGGTCGTCATCAGACCGTGGAAGTTTTGGGCCAATCGTAAGTGCGGAACTGACACCCATTTATAAATATATTATAAATATAAATATATTTGAAATATAAAACCAATATTTCAACGCTTCGTTTCTGCACTTGTTAAAAACGATTTTATCGATTTCTATTATATTTTACGCGCTCGGATTTTATCGGAAAGTCTGCTTAGAGAGCTTTGAATGCGAACTCCTTTCGGATAAGTGTTTCAATCTGTAATTGTTTAATTGACCGTATTAATGGGCAAGACCTTAATCTTGCCCTTTAATACATGGTTATTTTGATAGTATAATCCCGTAGTTTTGAAAATAATCCATTACTTTCTGCTCTGTAGAACGCGAATAGTAAAAGTTTAAGCAATGAGTTAATATCGAGAGATAATGAAATGCATCAAATGAAAGTCAAATGTTATGTGTGTGCTATCACTTCATGGGCTCATATCACTTCATAACTGGCTGCTTCTGATTCCGTTGCTTGGCGAGAGTTTAATGGTCGACGAGATAATACGTAAGAACCAAAAATTCTATTGGTTAATTAATTACCAATTTACAAGCAATGTACTCGTTTGATTTTTGCGCTTATTTTGTTTCGTAATAATGCCTCTATGTAGGCTTACCAAACGTTCTAATAAACGTCAACGAACGTTCTAATCACAATCAATAGATAAGCCTAATCGAATAATTCCATCAGGCGCATTAAATAATTCGATGCAAATCCTACGTTTTAAAAATTACTCTGGGAATAATAATCAAACTAATTAACGAAAGACACATGATGATAACATTAAGTATTTAGAAGAAAAAGTAGTTTTTTGTAGAATAGCACATCATAGTTCTTTATAGAAGCGGCACTTCTGCTTCTCTATTCCTCTATCGTCAGCGTCTAAAAACTGCTACTCCTAATTTATGGCTTTCGGAGCTCGCAATAGAAAAGATGATTTCACTTCTGGATGACGTCACGGCTGCTGGATTACATCACGGATTCAAGCGACCGGCACCACATGAAAAAGGATATAAATTAACTGTTATTGGTGCAATTTTTCCCTTGCATTTTACGAAACACTTGCCTTTTTAAGAAGAGTAAATAGTAAATTATTTTGAAAATTATAGGCTTCTACCTTCAAAAGAATTATATATTAGCAAACGCGATATGATCCACCGTTTATGACCGACCAAATAATAATAGATTGGAACAAAACCGCAAGAAGTTTGTTCTCGTTTAATAAAGCAGTAGAAAGTGATGAAAGCCTTTTTTTTTACGAAGCGCAAAAACGAAGCTGGTCGAACAACAAATAAAGAGGTGATTTTACCCTCATAATTCAATAAAAACAACTGACGTGGTTTTGGCGAGGAAATGTTCGACAACTTTTATATTTCAACAATAGCGAACATTCACTTTGATACTTTGATACTTCCGTGCGTGTACTGGCACTCAGCACATGAAAGGGTCCTCAGCAGTTCACGTTTGAGTCCCGCATTGGACCTTGCGAGTGTTGAAATCCGCGCAGAGAGAGAGTTCTCGAGATGAGACAAATATCACGGGAGAAAAATACAGATGCGTTTTGCATCTGGGCTGAACACGTGGACGACGTGGACGAATTAAGGGAAGTGGGGAACTTTCACAGTCGACGGGATAATATGTAAGTAATGTAAGTACCACGATGCTCAGAATTGAAAATGATTGGCGCATCTGCCAATTTCCATGGTTCGATGGTAGCCATCCTTCGCGTTCGACGCAGGTACAAAAATATTATATTTATTTCAAATTGCGATTTTTCAATTTTTTTTTAATATTTTTGATGCTTTTAAAATTTTATTGGTGAATTCTTCTGCAGAATGTTAAACTGTACTTTGAGATCTATAAATTATTTAACATATTTGAACATTTAAAAGTATTTTACATGTTTAAAACTGATTTATATTCACTAGCATTTTTCTCTTCAACAGCTATTGCGCCCAATGTTGGATGCATCAAAGAAAGCATAATGAACGAATGTTCCGAAAGCACCAGGAGAGTGCATAGAAATTACAGAGAATACCTGAACACTAACGGTGGAGAATTTTCTGACAAGAAACTCATGTGCATGTAAATATACTGCATATTCTCCAGTCATATCCTTTAATTTTTCTAATTTTAACTAAACAAAAAAATCGGGCGTTCATGTTAAAACATAAGTTCAGTTATATCTGCTATTCTAAGACGACTTTACTTTTAAATTACTACACATTTCATCTAAAACACTAGTGTGCAATGTTTCTCACTGAAACATTTTATAATTTAAAAGTGCTTTTGATTTAAAGATATATTATTTAAGAAAAAATACAAACACTTCCCCCTTTAATTTGTGTGCGGTTCCTAATAAGATTTCCAACTTTAAAATTAAAAATATCTTGCTAATTTTTTTGTATGACAATTACATATTTTATACCGTGATTTCTATAGAATTTACCTGAGTAAATGAACCGAAGGAATTATAAAAAGTGTGACGTAAGGATTTACATAACTGGAAGTATATCTCTGCTGCCAGCGGGTTTGAAAATAAAGGCAGGATCTTATGAATAAAGTTTATAAACCAGGGATGCCCCACCTATAGTGCATGAGCCACACATGTTTCTTGCGACCTTTTGATGTGACTCCCATTCGCACATCTGGACCCTTCTCAGTCTAATAAAGTTATATGGTATTTCTCCCGTCTTCTTAGCATGCTTTCGTGATATAATGGCCAGCACACTCCGTGCGTATTGGACAAGTCCGTTGTTCGAGTTCCGGCGAGGGCATTGCTCATTTTTCATGTCTCCTGCTTCGAAATAACTTAATGTCTCTACAGTGGTGCCCGAACTAAAAAGGGTGGTGGATGATGACTCTTCACCACCAGGATTTGGCGATTGGGTCCGCTAATCGCCAGTCGCTAGAAAAGGGGGAGTGCAAAATATTTATTCCGCTTTCTTAGCATGCTTTCGTGGTACAATGGTCAGCACACTCGGCGCTTATTCGAGAGGTCCGATGTTGGAATCCCGGAGAGGGCATTGCTCATTTTCCATCTCCCCTGCTTCAGAAATGCACGGGAACCTTTCTGGTCAACTTTGCTCGGTGTAATCTTTACAATGAAATGAATTAACAACAGATATCTGCAATGCTACTCAAGTAAATACTTTTATAAGGACTATCTTTAACGGTTACTTTGTATAAGAAGATACACTGGCATTTTATTTTTAAAGAACTAATGGAATTAACATGTGCCAAGGTACTAAAAACCATACAACCGAAATTAATCTTCCTCTTCCAAAACTTATGTTCGTAGCAACAGACTTCTCATCTGCCATGATTGATTCTGCTTGTTTGTTTCATCACATTATGTAAGAATGAAGCAGATTTTCCAAACCTTTTTAACTGTCACTGGATCAGACATCATTAGACATTATGAGCAAAAGATTTACTTTTCGGACATGGGAGGAAAGTTCTTTTAAATTTTTATTTACCTCGGACCATTTTAGAATAAATTGTTCAAAGTGCTCTTTGATGAAAGCGATGCTGAATTTGGAACTTTAATTATGAAATTAGAAGCCTTAGTAGGTGAAAGTCCTAGGTTAATTTTCAGAGCATCTTCCAGAGATAAAACAATTTTTAGAAATCAGAAATGAAACTTTGATCATATTTGGTTATCTAATTTAGTCTTCCCTACAGACAGGACAGCGAAAATGAATAAAATGGATCTTGAACTGCAAGGGCAAACAAAAGAATATTATTAATTGGAATCATACACAACTTTATATCGAAGTTGAATTTGTGAATATCCAAAATAAAGCAATGTATATTTTTCCAGTTTACAAATTTGGTTGCTTGGTTGGCTTTTAATAGCACAAAACCTTGAAGGTTATTATGCGCCAGACGAATGGTGAATAAAATCCAAAATGCACAAACACACTATATCAGATGCATTGTTGAAATGAACCTGTAATGCTAATGAAGGCATGTAGAAATGACTTTGAGAGATGCTCTAGCAACAGGTAGAGCAGGATGAAAGGAAAAAAACTTCAAATCATATGATAAAAAGATATGTCTTTTAAAAAACTTATGAAGGTTGATCTGAGGGTTTCTTCCAATAAGATATGTTAATAAGATATGTTCGTAGAGTTAAAATGACATTCACGTTTCTGACTAAAAGCAGGGCAGCAGGTTAAAATGTGATTTACTGAAATGATAGCGTTGCAAGTGCCACAAATAGGTTCATTACCTTCTTTCAAAAGATACTGATATGTCAGTCTGCAGTGACCAATTCGTAGGCGAGTCAGCAGTACATCCTCCTTTCGATTCCCTCTCGACTTCCAAAACCCCAAATTGGGTTTTACCTGCCTTAATTTGTTCCGAGTCTGGCATTCCCAGAGTTCTTGCCATCTGGGCAAGATCTTTGTTCTGATGTACTTCCGTATGTCTGTAAAAGGAACATCATTTTCAGAGGTAATATCAACAGATTTTGCTGCGAGATCGGCGAGTTCGTTGCCTTTGATACCAGCACGTCCAAGCACCCAGCAGTACGCAATAGAATAACCTGCGTTTCTCAAACGGAGGTATGCCTTTAAAATTTCTAAAACCAAAGGGTGGCTAGTATTTTTATTTATTGATTCAAGACTTTACAAATTTGGAAAGCTACACAAAGAAAGAAAAGAAAATTAAAACAATCAAATGTTCTGAAAATACCGTCGACGTAAAAATAATTTCGAAATTAGAGTTTCTAATTTTAAAATTTCACAAAATTCAGACCATTAATTTATTCATTTCAAACCATTTGTTGGTATTAATATTTTCGATATATCACAAAAACTGCAAATACGTTCAATGAACGTTCTACTGATCTAGAGATGGAAGAAACTCATTTTCAGTCTGATCTGCTATTAAAAACGAGTATATCACCAACAGATTTTTGGATACTCGTAGATGAGATGAACTTCCACTGTTAAAGCAAACTTTTTGAAGATTAAATTCCTGCGTTGGATCAATTTGGTTTTCCGAAATAGGGTTCTCATACATGGTTCTGCAAATTGTTCTGCATCGAGCAAATTGCCTAGACAAAAACTAGAAGCGTTATGCTTTTAGACCGTTTTAAGTTCTAAATCTTCGTTCGCTATTTTATTTTTTGTTCCTATATAAGCATTTAAAGACTTTGCCATTTGCTTGAGTTGCGTTTTCTGTTATTTTAGTTTTTCTTCTTATAGAAGCATTTAAAGACGTTGCATCTGCTTCAGTTGCGTTTCCTGAAATTACCATGTCGGCCCAAAACTTAAACGATTTTTTTTCGCGAACTTATTGAATGCCCATCAGGGGCCGAGTGGTTAATACCGTTCTGTAATGATAGTTTGACCTGGCTTGGCTTCAAACCCAGGAAACGGGCTGTATGGTTGCTTTTCGCAGGTTTCCCCATGTGTAACGTGAATACAAGCCAGTTTCTCTCAAAAGGCCCTCCACGAAGGCATCCCTACTTTTAGGAAATAGCCCTCGAGCCTTTTCCATATCAAATATCCTAATCCAACCATTAAATTTATCTTTCATTGCTAAAAACAACGTAGCACTTAAAGGCGAAGACACTGAGGAGGAATGTTTCTATAGTGATATGCATCTGCGCTATGTACAGACAGAAGTATAATTTATGCAGAAAAAATATTCATTTCTAGTTAATATGTAGAGTTTTTTTCCCTCGACAGGAGCCTTGCCAGCGATGCTGCTTGCGCCGTTAATGCTGTTTCAGTACCCTGTGGCAATACGGTGAAGAATGCCGTTAAACAAAGTATCCGTCGCATTGACTGGATGGAACAGAAGAATGTGTGTACAAGAAAATTGAGAGAAGAAATTGCTAAAGATATCCCAACTATTCAAATCAGCCTTTCCGAAAAGGTGATACTCGAAGAATTACTCTTGGACATCTGAAATGGATGAGACACATGCAGGAAGAAACTCATTTTGAGTACATTGATTAATGTTTGATTACTAATGCGTACAGAATTAAATGCAATAAATATATTTTGCAAGCACATTCCATTACTTTAAAATATTTCTTCCTCTTATTATGAAATAGTTCTTCTTGTTTTAATAAAGCAATCATGTCTTTTGAATTAAAACCTCGATCAAAAGGGAAACTTGACACAAAATGGCTAACATCTAGTCCATGAGACTAGATGTTACCATAAACTTTCCGTTTATGGGTAGCTAACATCTAGTCCATGAGAGAAAACCATGTTTTCCTGAAAATTACTTCCTCGATCAAAAGCTAAGGAAAACAATGCTAAAGCATCCCAGCACATTGCTCATACAATAACACGCTAGAGGGCGCTGCTACGAAAACATGTGGTATTGCATTAATATTTTGTGAAATGTTTGTCGCTATTTTGTGAAACACTAGCAAGCCCCCCCCCGATTCTCCAGTGACTCGAATAAGCGAACACGTGAAGCTCGTTACTGTATAAAATGCACGGAAATGCGACCGGCAGTATTAGTAAAATATACAGAATCAAATTCAAATTTTGTAGCATTGAATTTCTGAGACTTAGGCGATAAGCTTGAACAATTGTTAAATCCAATGGTACAAAAATAATATTAAATAAAGATTAAACGAATCTGGATCAGTTAAAATGTAACTCAAACAATGAACAATCAAGTTAACACAACAACTCAACTCCTGAAATTAATCAGAAACTTCACTATACACAATGTCTTTGTTAAAAACATTGTTAAAAACATAATGTACAATGCGCAAAAAAAAGGGGGACAGTTCTGTATCTCCCGTTCTACAGGGCCGATTGACAAAATTAAAATTGCGTTTTTCATGCCTGTAAAGCGCGACTTAGGATATGTATTAGATTTATATATAACATTGCTCTAACATAGGTATTTTGACACACGGGCGTTTTCTGAAATAACATACCAATTGTTTTCCATATTTCGAGTCTGCTATTCAAATTATGCCTAAATATTAATTTTTTTTTAAATTTGCTGCGAAATTTATGCAGAAATTCAAAAATTTATCTTGGCGCATTTTTTCTATTCGTGCCAAGAATATTTCACTTGGCGAACTTCTTAATTTATAGCCCCCTACTTCCTTTCCTTTTGTCATTGTAAACGAGCGGGGAAAAAGTCATCGTTTGTTATTTCAAATAATTTTAACAAAGTGCGTAAACCACATTTGGCCTTATTATCGCTTATAACAAATGTGGCAAATTTCGAAATGCGCCAAAATGTAAATTCACGTATATCTTAGGAAATTATGAATAAAAAACTCACATTTTTTGCAGGTATAGTTAGAAATACACCTACCTTAATTTGATAGCAAGCTTTTATAGGTTATAATTCAAAATCAATTTCTTAAAATTTATAAAAATTATTTTAAAATAAATCATAAAAAATGGGCAAATTGTATTTATAATGAAGCTAAATTTCGAATTCTGGATAAAGAATCAAGTAAGTTAAATAAAAAAAAGAGATATTTATATATAGAGATTAAATTCAATTAGCATTGAGAAGCTAAAAGTTTTAGAGCTATTTTTTTTTAAAACTACTCATGCGAATTTTACTCATTCTGGCTGAATTTAAGTCGTAGAATCGAAATATGGCAAAAAAATTGGCATTAATTTCAGAAAAAGCCCGATTTTGTGTTAAAATACCTATAATAGAACAATGATGTATATAAATCTAATAAATATCCTAAGTCGCGCTTTCGAGACATGAAAAACGCAATTTGAATGTCGTCAATCGGCCCAGTAGAACGGGAGATATAAAACTGTCCCCCGGCCCAGCAGTGTATATGTAATGCATGTAAATAAAAACAAACGGAAAACAGAAGTCCATAATGAATACGATACTTTCATAAATTAACAACTCTTCATTCAGTTAAAATTCATCCTTAATTTTTCCTTAATTTCTTAATTTTTCCTTAATTTCTCATCCTTAATTTCTGTCTAAAAGCGATTATTCCATTCACCAGTAAAACTAATTGAGCCTGCTTATAGCATATTTGACTCTGTAATCTTAGACCACTTTATCAACGTTTAAATTTATTTGACTGTTAATTTATAATTTACACTCTTTTGCAAAAACTCGAAGCACCATGAAGGAAGTGGTTATTTTTGATGAAATTGAATATGTGTATATCACATACACAGATAAAAATATGATTAAAAAATCAAGGTCATAGCACCTGTTCCCGGCTCACAAACACACATTCAGTGTTCAAATTAGTAGCTCGTCGCATGTTTGAATTCTTCGAGGCAAGGAGTGGTAGAGGTTCCTAATGTCATCCTGTGACACATTCTGTCAGGCATTCATCAGTTGTCGCTCCAGATATGTGATATTTTGTGGTGCCCGAATCTGGTGGCCTACCATGCCCCAGACATGCTGGATTGGTGAAAGGTCTGGTGACCTTGCTGGCCAAGGAAGTGTATCAACCGCACGGAGACAGTCCAGAGATATGCGAGCAATATGTGGCCTGGCATTATCTTGGTGGAAAATGGCTCCAGGATGACGTACCATAAAGGGTAATGCAACCGCCCACAGAATGGTATCAGCATATCATTGAGCTGTTAAAGATGTACAGAGGATGACTAAAGATGACCTACTCTCATAGGAAATAGCGCCCCACACCATCACACCAGGGGTTATTGTTGTATGCCTTTGTAAAATAAAGGCTGATTGGGATCGCTGGCCCCGCCCTCTCCAGACAGGAACACGGTGGTCATCTGCTTCATCTGAGTGAAGCGAGATTCATCGCTGAACACTATACGATGCCAGTCTGATGGCAGCGATGATGATCGGCTGCAACACCATTCTAGGCGACTCCGCCGATGTTGTGGGGTCAAAGGCAAACGTCTTAAAGGCCTCTGTGAGCGTAACCCCGACTCCGACAAGCGCCGTGAGATGGTAGACGGTACCACGGGAGGTACAGACATGGCTGTAGTACGTTGAATAATCGACAATGATACCGTTGGGGTGTTTCGGGAATGGCGAACAATGATCCTATCTTGCCTCGGATTTGTCTTCTTGGCCTTCCAGAGCTTTCATTTCGTCAGCAGTTTCCTTGTAGCAACCATTGCTGCCAACATCTTTGCACAGCAGTGTTTGTACGCTGCAGGTGGCGGCCTATTGATCGATATGACCACCCAGATTCATGCAGCTCTACAATGCGTCCTGTTCGAAGTAGTTTAGTTGTCTGTAAGGTCTTCAATAACGTCGTAATGGTATCTTTAGTTGCTTCTTTATGGAATTATAATGGCAGCAACAAAAAAAAAAAAGATAAATTATCCGCCTTTGTTACTGGTTTTATACTTTGCGAATTGCGCACTAGAAATTGCCGCTATGATCGCAATTCCTGTTTATTTGCTTTGAAAATTTGATCACCTGCATGTTCGATCAAGATGTTTTTGCATACTAAATTTCGTCACGATCTCAAAAGTCCTTCTTGCTGCTTCGATTTTTTTTTTTTTTTTTTTTTTTTGCAAAAGAGTGTATATTGTCAGATGGTTCCGTTAAACTGAAAATAAAGGTTTATATAAAAAGCATAAAAAAATACATCCTTTGTTAGAAAAGTTCCTTTTATTTATTTTTGTGTTTGGAGTACTAAAAAGAAACAAATGCTGTTTTTATGTTACCTGGTATATATTCTTACTTGACATGACGTTGGCCATGTATCTAGGCAAACTTACTAGGCGATAAGGCCGTGCCTACGCCACCTACAGTACAAAGCCGGAATACTGGTACGAGAATGAAGCTATGAGTCATCACACTTTGGCTTAGTGCTGAATGAAGTTGCAGGTGTGAATTCGTCAATGTGTGGTATGATCGTTGCACTTCCACGTGTTTTATAATCATCGTCACTTATTTTTATAGTATTACTATGTTTTAAGGCAGGTATACAATTTCGCTATGGTGTTTAAATGTAGTGTACTCCTATGTAAGCGAAATTATAATGGTGGATCCCGTGTCCATGTATTTTCTTTTCCAAGAGATTTTCTTTCCAAAAGATCGAAAAATGGATATATTCAATAACCCGAGACAATTTTCAGCCAACCCAAAATTCCAAGGTCAGTTAATTTATATTTATTATTACTATTGTTAATATTTTAATAGTTCTTACTTAAGATACGATATTCTTTTGTAAAATTATATACTGCTGTAATAACTACCTTTGTCACATTATTAACTTGAATTTCTTATATTACCCAATTTTCTTGTATGTTTTTAAAAATGTGATCTGAGGTATTTCTAAAGGGGTATCTTGCTATTAATTGTATTACAAGATGTGCAAATCATAATATGTAGCCAAAGCATGATATAGAATAATCAAAAATAACAAATTTGTAACTTACTAGCGAAATTTCGCATTTTGTTTTATTTTTATTTACGCAGACATTGCAAATTGCGTTATAATGTACTTGGATTCTTAGTTAAGTGAGGTTATTTTTTGCTTCTGAAAGGAGAAATTGTGATGCATTACAAACTCATTTCTTGAATTCATAAACATTTTATCACCTTAATTCTTTGCAAAAAAAATTAAATGTCTTTGGTGAAAAAACTAGATTCTCTGGCTTTATAACTATAATTGTATCTGGTTGTTTTGTGCATAACAGGTTAAATTTAGATACTGAATGAGTATTGACATCCAAATCAAACAAAAATATTCTGAAAGTTCAGTTTCTATAAGTTTTAAATTCCATTATGAATTTGTTTAAAACCGATTTCTATCTTGTAAAATGTATATTTATGTAGAACAGATTCTTAAGTGAACATTTCTCTATAGGTGTGAGTTTTTCATTTTAGACCGTGTGATATTGAAAAGGAAACGTATATCTATATCTCGAAGGAAACCGGTTAAACATTATAAGCTCCATTAAAATTCCGAAGACTAAGGAAAGATGCAGTTCCAACAAAACTTTCTGGTGCCCCATCATATTTAGCCACTGATGTATCGATAAGGAAAGTACTATTAGCAGAAGTATTTAATGCATCTTTAAGCGCCAAGGCCATCTTAATATATACGGCCTAGAA